TTGGTATCATCTGCAAAAATTACAAACTTTAGGATCTTCGATACTTTACAAATATCATTTATATACATTATAAACAATTTTGGTCCCAATACTGATCCTTGAGGTACTCCACATTCAATATCCATCAATTTAGATTTAAACTCATTTATTTGTACATATTGCTGTCGATTCATCACATAGCTTTTTATCCAATCCAATACCACACCCCTAAACCCATATTTCTCCAGTTTGATTATTAAAATTTTGTGGTCAACAGTATCAAATGCTTTTTTTAGATCTAGAAAAACTCCCAAGTGCATACTTCTTGTTATCCATACATTCAGTTATTTCTTCCATTAAATCCATCAATGCCAAAACTGTTGATCTGTTATTTCTAAACCCATACTGGCAATTTGCCAACAGATCATGCTTTTCCACAAAGTTATCAAGTCTTTTTAGAAATAGTTTTTCCAGTATTTTAGAAAACTGGCAGAGTACTGACACTGGTCTATAATTTGTAAAACAATGCTTTTCACCTGATTTATAAATGGGAATAATTTTTGCTACTTTCATTTTTTGTGGAAAAACCCCTTCCTGGAAAGACAAATTAAAAATATATTGTAGCGGTTTTACAATACCATCAATTACTCTCTTTACTGTTAACATATCAATATCATGGAAGTCAGTACTTGTTTTGTTCTTAAGTCCACTGACAATATCATATATCTCCTTCTCTTCCACTGCTCTTAAAAACATTGAACTTGCATTCCTTTCAATGTGTCCTCCAGTCTCCTTTTCTATCATATCAACCTTTATTTCTGCGGCTAGTTTTGGCCCTATATGTACAAAAAAATCATTAAATCCATCTACTACTTCGTTCATTTTACTAATAGTATTTGTCCCTTCCATAAAATACCCAGGGTAGTCATTAGTCCTTGGTGCATTTTTTATTATACTATTCAATACATTCCATATCCCTTTCATGCTATCTTTATTATCTTCTAACTTTTTGATGAAGTATTCTTTTTTACAAGTTCTCATTATGTTAGTTAATTTATTTTTATACTTTTTATATTTCTTTTCAGATTCTGTAGTTCTCTTTTTAATGAATTCTCTATATAAGCTGTTCTTTTTTTTACAGGCATTTTGCAGTCCCTTCGTCATCCATGGTCTTCCTGTATATTTGTCTTTCCTGTTGACTTCAATAAGTAGGCTATTTTTCTCTAATAAGGCCATGAATATACTTAAGAATGCCTCATAGGCTTTATTGACATCCTTATATTTATATACAATAGTCCAATCTTGTTTTATTAACTCATTTTTGAGACACTGCATTGCCTTTTCTGTTCTAATTGTTTTATATATCATCTTACCTACATTTCTATGAACTTTATAGCAACAGTCATAAGTTACAAAGACTGGTAAGTGGTCACTTATATCATTTATCAATATCCCGGCTTTTATATTTTCTTCCATTACATTTGTAAAAATATTATCTAATAGAGTTGCACCATGAGTGGTTATTCTCGTTGGTCTTGTTATCAGGGGAAATAATCCCATACAATACATTGACTCAATAAATTCTTCAGTACTCTTATTATGATTTGGGTTCAGTAAATCAATATTAAAGTCTCCACAAATAAAAATTCTTTTCTGATTCAGATTTGTGTACAAGTCCTCCATAATGTCCTTAAAAGTCTCAATCTTTGATCCTGGCGTTCTATATATGCAACTAACAATGATATTTTTCTGTTTGTTCATATTTATTTCCACTGTTATACATTCCATCACTCCATCTACCACCCTTGTCATTCTACTAATTTTTTCAAACCTTAAATTTTTATCAACATAGAGTGCCACCCCACCTCCTTTTTTATTTGTCCTATTTAGATGGAGGAGCTCATATCCCTCCATCTCAAAATCCTCTTCTTTTCCAGTGTTTATCCAAGTCTCTGATATTGCTATCACATCAAATGGTTGATTAAACTGTGCTATATATGCTTTATTAAAATGAAAGTTTGCATATAGACTTCTACTATTGAAATGAACCATAGTTATATTCTTACCCCCCTCTATGTTCCTATTAAATTGTTCCATTGTATAATAATTACAGTCCTTTAACATTTTAGTAAAAAAATTACAGTCAGGATCTATATTGCTATCATACCCCAATGTCCCAGTTTCAGCATCCATTTGATTTGTTACTTGAAATCTGTCAGCCATCTGACTTTGTTATATATCTTATCCACACACCATCACCTCTATCAACACTTCGTCTAGGCCTAGTACTATCCTATTTGACAATTCATTAAAAGTACCATCAACCATCCCCATGCTTTGCCTTACATTTATCAGCCATATTTTTCCAGTTCCATCAGCTCTTTAATGACCAAGACCTTTGCCTGCTCCGGTGTTCCATTTAACTTAATGAACACCTTACAATCTGATGTCCAGGTTGACTGTATTTTCTTCTGTTTTCTTAATAATCCCGCTTGTCTTGCAATATCTGCATTTTTCTTGGTTAGATGTTCATTAACATACACATTCGTTCCTTTCAACTTTCTTCCTTGCTTCAGTAGTTCTTTTTTCTGCTTCCTATTCACAAATCTTATAATAATGGCAGGTTTTTGATTCTTGTTTTTCCTTGGAAGAGTATGGCACCCCTCAATGTCCCTACTATCCATTTCAATACCTTTACTATTGAAAAATGCTATTACCTGCTCTTCCAGGGAGCGCAACTCTTGCTCAGGCGGCTCCCCTCTCTCTTCAGCTGCTGCCCGTGCATATGTCTGGTGCTTGGTTTCCAGACCCGTTACTATTACATCAGATATCCTTGAATATTGTTCCAATTCTGCCACTCGTACTTCCAACATATTAATCTTCTTGTCCTTTTCCTCACTTTGCCTTCTTAATTCTTTAATATCCTCAATTAAATTGATGATCAGTTTTTGTTGTTTTGCAATGGTTGTAATCTCTTCTGACATAAAGTTCAAAGATTTCTTTATGTCCTCCAGTTCTTCCTCATTGATATTACCTCTTTTAGGCGGCTTCTTCTGAATACTTGAATACTTGTGCCTCTTCTTTTTTTTTTTTTTTTTACTGCAGCCTCAATCCATAGGCCAGCTCCGGGCCCTTCTTGTCTCTCGACGGGGAAGGCTGTTGTGGTTTAGTCTCCGCGACGTGATGAATGTTTGTTGGGCCTGGCTCAGCAGGACCCCTCCGTAGTCGGTGTCGCTAGGCCCCGTCGACCGAACTATGCCGGGTTCGGCGCTGTTGGGCCAGGCCGATGGAGGCGCGCCGGGCTCAGTACCGTTGGGCTGGGCCGGCGTAACCACGCTGGGTACGGCACTGCCGGATGGAACCACGCCGGGCCCGGTGCCACTGGGTTGGACCGATAGAACCACGTCAGGGTCGGTGCCGCTGGGCTGGGCCCGGCTGGGCCGGTGTCACCACGCCGGGTTCGGCGCCAAATCCTGTGTGCTTCCGTCGGTACCGGGATGGAGGTCCGGTGTAGCGAATCGAAAGACAAGTGAAGATTCACACCTCTAATGGTGCAACCTCGAAATAACACATTATCTGAAACCAAAACATCTCAATGTCGAAAGGTTTTGTTAGGAATCATTAACATGATTCCCCCTGTTCGTTTGGAGCGGGTCTGGGATTTCTTGGCGTGAACAGACTAGCCGCGGCTAATCTAACCGGCGCTTTTAATGACGTCACTGCCGTGCGCCAATCTGTTTTTATTAAGATTACCGGTAGATGTACCTTTGTCCTACTGTGGAGAAATTCATTTTCTCCCTTTATTGACCAACAGAGTTGTTCAAAAGTACAGAACAAAACATATGGCATTACATCTTATGACAAAAATGCTACTTAAACAGAGTTTAAGCAGCAAAACATCACTCTGCAAATAGTGTATATATAGTGAGACAATTCATGATTTAAAGTATTAAGTTTAGCCAGTTTTTGTATGCACGTTTTAAAAAATGCTGATACTTGAAAGCTAGGATCCTGTTTCCCCCAGCGAGAGCAGCCATCTAAAGCCGGGCGTACACTGTGCGACTTTTTCACTTTTTTGAGCCGATTTTCCAGTCGTGCGAGAATCCACGACATCGGGGCGAGTTTTGCGCCGAACGGTCGTGTAGTGTACAGGGGGTTACGAGAGGCAATTAACACCACGTGACCAGCTGCCGATCAGCAGTCGTGAGGTCGCACGGACTTTTGGCGTGTTTAATATTTCGCTCGTCCCTCGTGAGGGTATCGCACTGTTGAAGCGGCGCTGCGATCCACAAAGTATCAGAACCGCTCACGGCGCATGCGCAAACACGAAAGCAGGGGCGGAATTTAGGAAGCGGAAGCGACAAACAAACAAACAAGCATGGCTACGGAACAACGTGTTGTTTGGACTTCAGCAAAGGAGGCTCAACTTGTGGAACTTTGGCAAAGTCACGCAAACCTTTACGATGTGGGCACAAAGACGTATCACGACCGCAACAACCGGGAGAAAGATTGGCAAGCAATTGCCACACAGTTGCAGCTGCCAGGTAAGCATCTATGAACTGTATTGTTTCTAGTAACAATCAAGCAATATTAACAGTAACATGTAGTAACATTAGATAATACATTTCTCTATTTATTGCTTGAAACAGTAACTAACGAACTGATGTAATTCAATTCAACTTCAATACTTTATTAATCCCAGAGGGAAATTAGAGACTTCACAAAATGTTATAATCTATGTTCTTTGATTTTCAGTGAACGAGGTGAAAACACGTGTGGCATCACTTCGCACACAATATGGCAAACTGATGAGGCCGAAAGCCAGCGGCAGTGGCCAAAAACAACTCACTCCCAAACAGAAATGGTTGCTGGCCAATTTGGATTTCCTGAGGCCCCACGTAATTCACAGAGCCACAGTCTCTAATGTAAGTTCATAAGCAAGACAGACACACACAGACACACACACAAAGACACACAGACACACACACACACACACACACACACACACACACACACACACACACACACACCATAACAAATGTACTCCTCACATAATACAATTAATAAGATCTCACATTTATTAACCCTCATCCATCTATTTGTATGTTTTCCAATGCAGCTTGGCATGGATTCAGATGCCACATGTGCTACAGATGAGGGCAGCATTGAAGAGGGGAGCGAGGACCCGTCTGCTCCGCATAGTGACGCTGATGTGTCCAATTCATCTCCAGCCTTGGAAGAAGAGGAGGAAAGCAGTTCAAACAGCTCAGAGTTAAGCCGATCCATGAGGCAGCCCACCCAAAAACCCGGAATGCACAACTCAGACACCAAAAAGAACACCAGCAAGAAATCTGAGCAAAACCTAGAGATGGTCAAACTGTCATTACTCAAGCAAGTACAGAGTTCACTGAGCCAATCGGATGCTGAGGAGCAGTTTGGCCAACAAGTAGCCGCAGAAATGCGGAATGTCAAGGACAAACATTCACAGCTGAGGCTCAGGAGAAGCATCATGAACTTAATTTATGATGCACAAGAAGCAGAACAGGCTGGACAATGTCCTGTTCCACATGTCAGTCCTGCACCTTCCTTCCACATGCAACAGTTCCAGCCACCACGGAATGACAACTTTTTGCTATCACCATCGCCAATGTCATACAGACACCTGCTCAACTCAGACTAGTTAATTACTTTTATCAATAGTATCTTTGTTTAAGTATTTTTTTTAAATCATTTTGTCTTAAAAAGGGAAAGTTTGCCCTTTTTTCTCCCACACAGGTTGTTTGGTGTATATGTAAATTACTGTGTTTTTTATCTGCCATTGTTTAAATAGTTTTCATAAATAAAAACTCTTTTTGAAAAATTCTTTAATGTACTGCTCACAAATGTTACAAACATAAGAAAATGCATCACTCCACTCCCACACATTATGAATTTTCAAAAGAATCCACCCTAAGAGTTGAAATCAGCCTTTAAATGCAGTTCCGTACATGCAATCAATGTCTTGTTCTTGTTCAGAGAAAGTTAACAGCCAGACAGGAACACCATCTGAGCTAATGACTGAGTGGAACCAATGCTCTCGCTTTATTTACAGAAGTTTAACGCATATGAAGCTACACCATGTTTTCCTGCCAGGAAATTCTTCCTGCAGGTGAGACAAAGTACTGGGCTAACACATCACGTTGTTTCTTAGCATCCACTGAGGAGTTCCTAGCTCTGCTTGCCGAAACTGACTGAAGGGCTCCCTCACTTCGCCATGTGCCACTGACCAGCTGATGGTTTGCATCTTCAGAATCCACATAGCCAGGTGGTGTGTAGGCATCTGATCTCTGTTGTCGGAGGAAGTTGTGGAGACCAAGTGTTGCAAAAACAATTGCAACAACTTTGTCTGGATGCAGGCAAATTGTGGTTCTGAAAACGCGAAAGCGATTGGCCAGAATTCCAAATGCGTTCTCAACAACATGGCGTGCTCTGGAAAGCCTGTAGTTGAAAATCCTTTGATCATGGTTGAGGTTTCGTGATGGATATGGTTTCATCAGATCTGGCCTAAGGGGATATGCTTCATCACCAATGAGCACATATGGCATTGTGGAGTCAGTGCCTAGCAGGGTTGCATCAGGAGGGACATTCAGAGTGCCTGTGTTCATAGCCTCTCTGAGATCAGAATGGGCAAACACTCCAGCATCAGATGCCCTTCCTTGTGTCCCTGCACTTGCATATACAAATCTATAATTTGCGTCAACTACAGCCATAAGTATGATGGAAAACCTTGACTTGTAATTATAAAACGTGCTTCCACTGTTGGCAGGGGGTTGAATGAAGATGTGTTTCCCATCTATGGCCCCTATGCAATGTGGAAAATGCCACTTGTCTTCAAAGTCTTTAGCGATGACCTTCCACTCAGTCTCAGTTGATAGTGTCTGTGGAAGAAGTACATGGTGATACATTATATTAGTCTCAGGTTTAATCAGGACTGCACATGCAAATTAGCTTCTAGCTAAATCTGGTGCAATGCATCACATTTCACTATCACTCAACAGGTTCATAATCCTCAGAATGTAAACACACTTCAATAACAATTTTTACGTTCCAACTGTATGTGCATGAATCTGTGATGTGCCACATGCCACTCTGTTACTTGAGGGTCCTTATCAAGCATGTTTTACAGTTTTTACTGATCAACCACACCAGATTTACATCAGCAGGTGAATAAATTGCTTCTGCACAGCGTGATGGGTGGATGCACTGTTTTAGGGCAGGGAAAAAATTACCTTTAGGTATTCCTCACGTAATACTAGAGTTATGGCTGCACAGGTTTCCATCACAATGCGGCTCAGTGTGGTGCTCCCAATCCTGAACTGGAAAGATAAGGAATTGAAGGTCTCACCTGTAAAGATTAAGAAAGTGTTTCATAATGTGTAAACTTGATTTGGATGTGTGTGTGTGAGAGAGAGAGACAGAGTGTGTGTGTGTGTGTGTATGTGTGTGTGTGTGTGTGTGTGTGTGTGTGTGTTCTTGCCTGTTGCAAGGAATCTCAGTGTCACAGAGAGCCTCTCCCTAGGACTGATCGCCTTCCTCAGGTGTGTGTCTCTCTTGATGATTTGAGGGGTCACTCTCTCCAGAAGGTCGTTGAATTCTTCCACAGACATGCGGAGAAGGTCCCGAAACCCCTTTATATCATCGACCTATTTCACACATCAATGCAACAGCATTACAAATGGCGGTTTTCACTCCACCCACCACCCCAAAGTCCATCAGCTGGTCAAAATGTAATTTAAGTCAATAGATACAATTGTAGTTACATAAGGAAAAGACAATTTCAAACATCTTACCTCCAATTCCCGCTGTAGATTTGACAAACCATACTGGCAACGTCTGCCCAGCCATTTCTTTGTCCACATTCGTCTTCTCTTTTTCTTTTCATCGACACACATGATGGCAAGAAGAGCCAAAGACAAACGTCTTGTTTTCACGGGCATTATTGCGATTAACAGCGAGCATGCAAGCGCTTTTCTGCTCGGAACCGAACGCGTTGTTTTCGTTTTCCCTCGTGTTTACTTACGGGGTTTTCTTCTTCGAGTTTGTAATTCCTACGTGTTGCATCATCTACTGGCTAATTTTTAGCTGCGGTAGTTCATGCCACACGTACTGTGTGAGCATTCAGGTCGCATGCGAGAACTGGGTCGTACAGTGTGAGCACACGACTCGTGAGATCTGCTCTGCGAGGAAGTCGTACAGTTTGAGCTGAAGCTGAACGCTGCGAGTGAAAAAGTCGCACAGTGTACGCCCGGCTTAAGGCACCCATCTACTGTACAGTCACAGGTGGGAGGGAGATCTTGGGAGAAGCAAAGAGCACATTGACTCCTCCAACTGATGACCTTGCCAGGCTGAAGTCCACCAATCCGGGGGGGTTTCCACAGCATCTGTCTGAATTCCTTCGTGGGGGTTTTAGTTGCTTGTACTTCAAGGCTACCAGGGCGTCACATTCAGATAACAATAATTTGTTTGGGTCAGGCTGAGATTATTTTCCTCTCTGCCTTCAGTCTTTAAACTGATCATTTCAAGTCCTTCAGTGAAGCCAATCTTGGGTTTTAAGCTTGTCGATACCGTCCGGTGACCCTCTCCGAGATGACATCCATTTTGCGCTCTAATACCGGTGTCACAGCTAGAACATTGTCCAGCTTACGATTCACCTCGAGTAACGTCCCAGTCTGAGAAGTCTCCACACGGACGGCGCTTTCCGTGGGTGTGGGTCGCCCTCCAATCGTTCCCATCTTCCCAAATTTCCAGAAAACCAGATATCCTCCCACTCCAATCAGGAGAAATCCAGTGATCGTCAGACCAAATATCCACACGTCTTCGATATCCTCAATGGACAGCTGGGAGAGGCATATGATCTTCCACTCCTTCCAGGAATCCAAAAGATATCCAACCGGGTGTGTCCCCTGTGGACATGTGGGAGCCCCCCTGCTCCATTCTCATTGTTGAAAAAATCTTATCGATCGCATTCAATGACCAGTTTATCAAATCCATGGTTCGTAAAAAATAAGAGTTTTTCAGAAGAAATGCAGAGAAGCGCTCTGTGGGCAGACAGGACAAAGAGCCTTGGGGGGAAAAAAGATACGGGAGCGAAAGAGGGAAGCGTCTATACTCCTCGAATGCCGGAAGAAATGCACATAATCAAACTGGCATATAAATTGTTAAAATTTAGATAAACATTCAATATTTGATTTTTTCGATCAAAACTATAATAATAATAATAATAATACATTTTATTTCAAAGCGCCTTTCAGGACACCCAAGGTCACTTTACACAAAACACGTAATAAAATACAATAAAACAATAATAAAACCCAAAGAAGAAAAAAACAGAGAGAAACATTTCAATAAAATCAGAGGTTGTAGGCAGATTTAAACATGTGTGTTTTGAGTTTTGTTTTGAAAAGGGTAAAACTGTCGACGTTCCTGATGTCTGGGGGAAGTGAGTTCCAGAGTCGAGGAGCAGAGCGGCTGAAAGCTCTGCTCCCCATGGTAGCGAGACGGGCAGAAGGAACCGCAAGATGGATGGAAGAAGAAGATCTGAGTGAACGGGACGGGGTGTGAATACTTATAAGGTCTGAGATATACGGAGGAGAGAGGTTGTGGATTGCTTTGAAGGTATGGAGGAGAATTTTGAAGATGGACCTGAATTTAACTGGGAGCCAGTGAAGCTGCTGGAGAACCGGCGTGATGTGGTGAAAGGAAGGGGTTCTGGTGATAATACGGGCTGCTGAATTCTGGACCAGTTGCAGTTTATGAAGGAGTTTGTTGGGAAGACCATAGAGAAGTGAATTGCAATAGTCGATACGGGAGGTGACGAGGCTGTGGACGAGAATGGCGGCAGTGTGAGGGGTCAGTGAGGGACGGAGACGGTTTATGGAACGTAGATGGAAGTATGCTGACCGAATTAAGTTATTAATGTGAGCCTGAAAAGAAAGTGAGCTGTCGAGAATGACACCCAGACCCTTGACATGAGGTGAGGGGGAGACTGTGGCGCTGTCAATAGTTAAAGAAAAGCTGTCAGATGTTGAGAGGGTGGAGTTAGTGCCAACAAGAAGAAGTTCAGTTTTATTGCCGTTGAGTTTGAGGAAATTAGAGGTGAACCATGATTTGATTTCAGAGAGGCAGAGTGTAAGGGAGGATGGTGGGAGAGTTGAGTTGGGCTTACTGGAAATGTAGAGCTGGGTGTCATCTGCGAAGCAGTGAAACTGGATATTGAATTTGCAGAAGATTTTGCTGATAGGGAGGAGATATACTATGAAGAGGAGGGGCCCCAGGACAGAGCCCTGGGGCACACCTGACTTGACTGGGGAGGGTTCTGAGGTAAAGGATTTTAACTGGATGAACTGAGTGCGGCCAGTAAGGTAAGATTGAAACCAGCTGAGGGGGGTGTGAGTGATGCCTAAGGAAGAGAGTCTATTGAGGAGGATGGGATGAGAAATGGTGTCAAAGGCCGCACTCAGATCGAGGAGAATAAGAATAGAGATTAAACCAGAATCAGCAGCAATGAGTAGGTCGTTAGTGATCTTGATGAGAGCTGTTTCTGTGCTGTGGTGGGGACGGAAGCCAGACTGAAACTGTTCATAAAGGTTATTGCGGGTGAGATGTGAATGGAGCTGAGATGCAACAGTTTTCTCAAGGACTTTGGAAATGAAGGGAAGATGGGAAATGGGACGGAGGTTATTGAAATCATTGGGATCTAAACCAGGTTTTTTTTAGAATAGGGCTGACTGAAGCGGATTTGAAGGGATGGGACCGTACCAGAGGATAGTGAGGAATGAATAATGGCTGTTATAAAAGGGAGCAGAGAAGAAAGGCACGATTTAACTAAAACAGTTGGAATAGGGTCCAGTTGATAGGTGGAAGGTTTGGATTTGGTGATGTAATCTAATATTTCTGAGGGATGGGGAAGTTCAAAGGAGGAGAACGGAGGAGAACTGAAGTTGATCCTAAGATTTAGACCCAAAAAGCAGAAAAAAATATTAATCTGGTTGGTATAATTTTAAAACATGATATAAGATGACTTTATATCTTTATATCTATATAACTGGTCAAACTGCTATGCTAGCGATTAGCAGCTATGCTAGCGACATGTTGCTCCGTCTCTAAGTGGCTATTGCATGTAGAGCCCTGCATGGGCCTAAAATCTGAGCCCGTGTCCGGCCCGGCCCGAGGGGGTGGAGCCCCAGCCCGACCCAACCCGAAAAGGTTTTCAGGATTCTCTGGCCCGGCCCGAGCCCAAGCCCGACTTTTTTTTTAACCAACTAAATGAAAACAAAGTGCGTCAATCCTGACCAATGTGTTAAAAGACGTGCAGGAACCGAGCGTCGCAGAAGCGCATGCGGGAAGCTTCCTCCCACTGAATCGAGTGTTTTCCAAACCCTGTCGCTCAGAGAGACTTGTCACTTAGAAAATGTTCCCTGATTATGAAACTTTGGCTGAATAGCGCTTGTTCCTGTCTCCAATGCGCGACACATCCAGGAGCCGTCTGAGGAGAATCCCAGAATCTCACATCCTCTTCAGCTCATGAGCGCATATTTACGCACAAGCGTGACCCAACACGGTCTCACAGTAAGACCGGGTTGGAACTGTTCAGGTTTACGCAGACAATCTTCACATAGAATTGACTTACAGATATAAAATTAATTCAGTAAAATATAAAGCATTTTATTTAAATATCCATTCATTATTTTACAAGCACAGAGAGCCGCATCAGATGGATGGAAGAGCCGCTGGTTACCGATCCCTGCTCTAGTTCAAGATATCATTAAGATTCCAAAAGTGCTGAAAAGATTAAAAATGGGACTTTCCGTGCATATACAATACATTACGGCAGCCACCGGGATTCCCTGTCTTGAGCGCACCGAATCACAACACAGATTCAGAGACGTGCCGAGTTTGTCATCCAAAATGCTCCGTTTTATAACTTTTGAATGGCTGATCTGATTCAAATAATTCCAACGGTTCCTAAAAGTACATAAAAGCAGCTTTCCAACGATCTATAGCATGAAGCAATCAGAGTTAAGAGAAAATATCGCTACGAGGGGAAATCCTGCCATACAGCCTGATTGAAACGGAGCGCAGCGCTGCGGTGAAAGCGGATAACCTATAAAATGACATGTTGAGGACGCAAACTCAATACATCTCTTTTATTGTGAGGTAATAATTTCTCCGAGTTTTGCGGTTGCGGGCGGGAGTAGACATGCACGCTGCAGGTGCGGGCGGGAGTGTAACACACACGTTGCGGTTGCAGGCTGTAATGGTCAGAAATTCAGCGGGAGCGGAGCGGGATGAAGAAAACAGTCCCGCGCAGGGCTCTACTGCTGCGTTTAAGTGTTTTAGTTTTTTTAATGATTTCGATTAAAAATAAAGGCGCCCGGCCCGTGTCCGAGGTAATTACACAGTCGTTGGGCCGGGCCTAGGGCTTCAGTGCAGGGCTCTAATTGCATGTATTCTTACAAGTTTGCTCAATCGGCGAGCCTCTGGGTAAATGTACTGCTCTAACTTTGCATTTGGCATCCTGGTTTTTAATTATTTGGGGATGTTCAACGTCAACGGAGTTCTGTTTTCCATCCTGCTTGTGCGGAGAGACGAGCCAAACCCCTCCCTCCCTTTTGTAATGAGGAAACAACTGCGGAAAGCTGGAGTGGCCAAATTACCTCAAATATATTGTAAGGGTTTAAATAGTAAACTATAGGGTGTTGTTCCGGTTTTTTCCGCTCTGGTTTGCTATGCTAGTAAAGTGGACGTTTTTGTCCTCTAACGGCTCGAGTGTATTGTAAATTTTAAATCATTTGCTATATAAAAACTATAAGTGCAAAAATTCAAAATTTTAGATATTTCACAACAAAATCAAGACTGATTTGTGCTAAACACCCCAGGCAAAAAAAAAATGTCTTTTTTAGAAAATAACTCTGTTTTAGTGTTTATTTTTATTTAATAAATTACATCAATGACTTTGAGTATTCAAACTGGCATTTCAGGGGTTAAATGCCTCAAAATGATTGAATTTTTTTATGTTTGAGCAGGGCTGAAGTTGTTCAACAGATCTATGAAAAAAAAAATTATGTATACATTTTTTATAGCCACTTTTACAAGCGGACGTTTTTGTCCTCTAATGACTCTTTTGTATGAAAATTAAAGTGAAGCCTGAGGGTTAAAGCTCATATGATTTATAGAGGCTCAAAGTTCAGTTTCCAATTGTAAATATATTTCATTCTATTGTCAGTTTAAAGAAATAATACAACTGTTATATTTGTGAAAACAAACTTACAGCTGTCTGTAATTCACATAATATGTTTCTGTGTTTCCTACAGATTTTCAACAGGTGTTCTGGTTAAATAAGAAGCTTCAGAAGAACAGAGTGCTCGTGTCAACCACCAGCACCTAGATTTTCTCCACAAAAAGGAGGAACAGGAGAAACTCTGGTCTAGTATGGAGGGAGAGCATCTCCATTTGAATAAGGAGACCGATGCTGCCAGGTTTCAATCCTTTAGCCATAAAACACATTTAAACAAACACACGAGAGTCCACACAAAGCAGAAGCATTTTGCCTGTGAGCACTGTGGACAAAGGTTTCACCAAAAGAATAATTTAACCACACACATGAAAGTCCACACAGGACAGAAGCCTTTTGCCTGTGAGCTCTGTGTAAAAAGATTTAACCAAAAGAAAACTTTAAACAGGCACATGAGAGTCCACACAGGACAGAAGCCCTTTCCTTGTGAGCTCTGTGGACAAAGATTTAGCCGAAAGACACATTTAAACAGTCATATGAGAATCCACACTGGAGAGAAGCCTTTCGCCTGTGAGCTCTGTGGACAAAGATTTAGCCAAAAGACAACATTAAACAATCATATGAGAGTCCACACAGGAGAGAAGCCTTTCGCCTGTGAGCTCTGTGTAAAAAGATTTAGCCTAAAGACAAGTTTAAACAGTCACATGAGAGTCCACACAGGACAGAAGCCCTTTCCTTGTGAACTCTGTGGACAAATATTTAGCCAAAAGACACATTTAAACAGTCATATGAGAATCCACACAGGAGAGAAGTCTTTTGCCTGTGAGCTCTGTGGACAAAGATTTAGCCGAAAGACAACTTTAAACATTCATATGAGAGTCCACACAGGAGAGAAGCCTTTCGCCTGTGAGCTCTGTGTAAAAAGATTTAGCCAAAAGACAACTTTAAACAGTCATATGAGAGTCCACACAGGACAGAAGCCTTTCGCCTGTGACCTCTGTGTAAAAAGATTTAGCCAAAAGACACATTTAAACAGTCATATGAAAGTCCACACAGGACAGAAGCCTTTCGCCTGTGAGCTCTGTGTAAAAAGATATAGCCTAAAGTCACATTTAAACAGACACATGAGAGTCCACACAGGCTTTTTGCCTGTGAGTTAGGTGGAAAAGATTTACCCAAAAGATCAATTTAAATGGTCACAAAAGAGTCCTTAAAGGACAGAAGCATTTTGCTTGTGAGCTCTGTGGACGAAGATTTCGCTGAAAGAAAACTTTAAACAATCATCTAAGCCTCCACTAGGGCTGAACGATCTATTGCAGGGGTCTCCAACCTTTTTTGGCCCGTGAGCTACTTTTACACAATGAAAGTACAGCAGAGTTACTGCCATATGATTTATTTACATTGATACTTTCCATGTGTGAATGTCCTTATTTTAAACATGCTATACTTACTATATTATCATTCATTGTACTCACAAGTTGATTTCTCTGTATTTCAGTACATCAATATATATATTTTTTAAAAGTGTAAGTAAACTAGTGACATTCTGAAAACCAAATTGAACAAAACATATTTAGTTTTTTAAACTAATCAGATACTTTCAGATAGTGAATAACAAATCTACTTAATGTGAATGATTTGGTAATTTTTTTTAGGTTAGTAACATAACTTTTTAAGCACACAGGAACAGCTAACCTGTAAAGCTGATGATATTTTATATAAAATAAAGGCTAAATGTGATGAAAACACAAAAGTCTAAATAGTTTGAATTGAAGTAAAAAATGTAAAATCAGAAATAAGTTTTGTTCCTGCTCTCCTGATTTATTGAATAATTTTTATGGGTTTTTTTTTTTTTTTGGGCAATGGGCATGTAGGTTTTTTTTCTCCGCAGGTCTGAAGGCTGTGCGTTACACAGAGCAGAGAGACAGAGAGCAAGAGACCAGAACCAAAAGAAATGATCACATCACACCAATCTTAAAATATTTACATTGGCTTTCAGTAACTTACAGGGTTGATTTCAAAGACCTTTTACTTACTTTTAAACCATTAAATGGCCAACGACCTCTGTATATAGAAGAGATGTTTGAAACGTATCACCCTTCAAAATCACTTAGGTCAGCAGATAAATCCCAACTGGTACAACCCAGAGTCCGCACCAAGCACGGAGAGGCTGCCTTTAGCTACTATGCGGTCCGTTTCAGGAACTGTCTTCCAATAGACATTAAGACCTCTCCCACCATTTCCATTTTTAAATCCAGATTAAATACTAAACTTTTTCATGATGCCTTCCATTAACCTATCCTTTCATCTATGCTCTACTAGGTCTTTATCTGTACTGTGTTAAATTTATTCTATGTGTTTTTATGTTTGTATATGTTATGTATACCTATTCTGTGCTGTTTTATTGTGTAATGAAAGCGAGTACTTGTAATAAAGTGTAGTTATTGTGTAAAGCAGTATATACTAGGAATGATTAATAAAAATAAAAACTATAATTGAACCTGAGTTACATGGTAATAACAATTTAAGAACTCAGAAACAACAATACACTAACTTACTAAGTAAATACCATGTAAGTACTAAGTAATTAGAGGACTGTAAAAGAAAGTGCAACCAATAATTGTACTTTATATGCTTTTATTTTTGTGTACTGTGTTCTGTGTCGATATACTTTGATTTTATTTTACACAACATGATGTGACATTTTATGCTACCGTTTTGTGTATGTAATGGGCTATGTAATAAACTTGACTTGAGAGAGAGTTCACAAACATGTTTTGTTACTAAATGAGACACTCAACTGAAACTAGGGGAAATATATGATGAATCTAACAGAGCCGTGTCCAGGACTTTTAAAATGGGGTGGCCCATGTGGGGCACTTGTTTATGCATGGGTGACACCAATGGTTATGCATATTTATTTATTTACACAAATCGTTTATTTATTTACTTTCTAGTGAATTTTGGAGTTTCACATTGCACAATCACCTTTTTTTTCTGTTCATCTTCTAGTTTTGCGGTGGTTAGCAAGTCACTTCTTGTTGCATTATTGCCACCAACTGGAGTTGATTGGGACTTTAAATACTATTTATGTGAATATGAAAAAATAATAAATAATATTAATACTAGGCAAGACTGGACGGAGGCAAGACTCGTGGTGGGGTCTGTGTTTACATCCGTGACGAGTGGTGTCGTGATACCACTGTAGTACGAAAACACTGCTCATCACGGAGTTCATGATTGTGAAGTGTCGCCCCTTCTACTTTCCCAGGGAGGTAAGTTCGATCTTGTTGGTCGCTACTTATAGACCTCCATCTAGCAACAACATCGATAGAAATGCGGCGCTGAACGAATTGTATCAGGCCATCAGTGAGCAACAAACAGCACACCCAGACGGTTTCATCATCCTCGCAGGAGACTAACCATGCTGATCTTAAAACTGTTCTTCCAAAGTTTCATCAGCATGTACATTTTCCAACAAGGGGAGATAACATATTGGACCTGGTCTATACCATAGACTGTACATATACGGGACAAAACGATTCCATAGGCTCCAATAACACGTTTTTTGTCTATAATGGGAGGTGGCCACCACCGCCATTTTGACCGTGTCACAGGTTCCGTCCAGCCCAGACAATTCCATAAAAGGGAAGAGAGGAGGAGCTGAGGGTGGGGCTGTGAGGCTGGGATCGAGTGACGACACCCAGGCGAACTAGCTACGAGCTAACCTGAAGCTAACCCTGGCTAACCCAAAGCTAACGCGGAGGTGGGAGCCGGGCTAACGGATGTAGCCACCTAGCTTCAACCCTACCGGAGCTAACTGGAACATCGACCTGAAACTCAAATGGACTTTAGGTGGAGGTTTTCTGCGCCTGTTCGTGAAAAGTACCTGTATTAAAAAAGTTTTAAATCGGTAAGTTTATAATTTATCTCCGTAATGAAAACATTTTGCTTTGAGCAAGTTTTCAGTACTGTATTTTCCGGGCTATCGCTGAATTAGCAGCCTAAATACATTTCATATATTTCCAAAACGTAATTCTTGTTTGTATCTTGTACAGCCAACTAGCCTTTATTCTGGACTCAGTAAAATTCACCAAAAGTAAAGAGACATTATACAGATGAAGGAAGCACAAGATAACTTACTGGAAGACACGGAATTATCATGAGAACCACAACAAGAGAGCCTGATAACAGTCATGTGAAAATAACAGTTAAAAAGTATGTATGTGTAATAGAAATAAAAAATATATTAGAATTAGTGTAACTCACTGTGATCCAAACAATAAATCAGCCATAGCTGATTAGTAAATATGACATGAGGTCTGGGAGTTTTTAAGTTTCATTATTTTATTACATTTTTTTCTTAGTTCTGTTTAAAGGTCACCATGGCAGCCTGTGTGCCTCCAACATCAGCTACACAACGCAGCAAGTGTAAGTTCCAAGTACCTGTCTTGACCACTTCATGTATGGTTTTGTACTTTAAACAATTATGACAAACCTGTTATTTTTTCTCCATAGCCATTTGGATCATTGGAGACAGCTACGTGAGGCCCAGAGAGCTGCAGAGACCCTCGGAGACAACCTTTTAATATTTTACGTTTTTTTTAATGTGTCGACACTTTGTGCCCTGTTGTTTTATAAAATGTAGTGTAAAAAATAAATGTTTTTGCTCAATTACTGGAATTTCTTTGGTTAAGACTACAAAGTGAGGAATAATCATTTACAAGTTATTTGTACAACAGGCACATTTTAAATCCCAACAGTTTCTTACAGCCAATAGAAATGTGTTCTTTACTAACTTTACTTGGTTTAAAAATCTTACTAAAATAAACAGAGTGCTGTATTGCAAAACCCAATCATACTTGTTATGTTAACATTAGCTTTGTAGATATTTGTGTGCAACAAAAACCAAACTTAAATAATTAGTCATTCTTTATTGAAAAACAACAAAATACAGGTAAACAAAGTGTGGGAAAATGATAACGTGAAAGTATTGCATTTTAAATGTAATCCTATTTATCTTTAAAAAGAAAAACTCTAAAAATGTCCTGTACAGCAACATGACAGAAGAATGGTGGTCTGTCTGTCAGAATGTGCTGCACAGATTTGCTCTATTAAGAGGAGCCTTAATGTGTACGAGGTTCCCCTTGAGTAATATTGGTTTGGGTTATGTATCGCCACATCCGCATGTAAATGCTGAACCAATCTGGAATAAAGACTGCTGATAGAGGATAAACAAGTAAATAAGAGAAAAATTCATACAACTAGGAAACCAACATAAAAACAGCAACCAGCAGCTGCACCTGTGAAGAAACATTTCTAAGAGTCATCAAGAAAACGTGGGATGAACAACTATAAACATGTAAAGCATGAACCACAAACATCATGAACAACAAACATCAACAAGCATGTGTTCGTGTGTGTGCTGGGATATGAAGTGTGAGACCCCCAAGGACCAGGTGCACTCTGGAACGGCCCCAAGCGCCAGAAAACCTTGCTACAGAGAACTCAGCAAGGCCACATCCAGAACCGGGCTGACACAGGTCATGGGCCACAGGACACAGGAATCACACAGCATTTCCACCTGAAACAGAATCATTCAAATTAGAATTAAATACAACAGTTGTTCAGTATGACATCAAATGGATTTTTAAAGAAGGCAATTGGACTTCTTTGGTTTCATGAATATAGGAGGGTTGATCTTAAGCCTGATTCATGCTTCTTATCCAGCTTCATGCTGGGTTTTATCCAGAATCGAGACTTTGAAAATATATAGTTTAATTACAGTTTGATTTGACATCTGTATAATGTTTATTATTTTGTTTTTTCCTCCTAAATGCCTAACGTTTTAGTTTAACATGAATATTTGTCATTCATCCCAATACATAAAGTTACACATTAAAGACTGTCCAAAAATTAAATTGTTTCTCTGAGTAATTAACCATAGAATTAGATGGAAATTAATAACATGATTGTTTCCCATCTAAACAGCCCTAGTCACAGACAGTTCAAGGGTGGGGAAGATTTTCTTCTAGTTACACAGCAATGTAACATCGGTATATTATACAGCTAATGCTTCAATTTTTTAAATCTCAACCAAAACATGAAGTAATGTGTTTGTACCCTGGAGTCCGTGGTGAAGTGATGACTCTCAAAGTGTTCACTGCACAAGCGGGAGAATGAATTGGGAGTCCAGCACTCTCTTCTTTGGTTGCTCACCCAAAGGTCAAGCCTCTCTGGATCACCTAGAGGAAAACTTCATACAAAGAACTAATTAAGTATATGGCTTTAAAATACTTACCGGAAATTACTGACTCGAGCGTACTGCAATATAAGCCTCACCCCCCCCCCCCCCCCCCCCCCCCCCAAAAAAAAAGAGCCAGTTTATCTGATGGCATACAGACGTCTAACATCAAGCACTATCTACCAACTCACCGAGCTGCAGTATTTCTGCGGTCAGGTCCGGCTTGGGGAGAAAATATGACACGTCTTTCAGGATGGACTTCATCTTTGGTAGCTGGCAAAGCTGGAAAAAGCAGGATCTAACCACCTGGCTAATGTGGGAGTCCATCTGCATCTCTGGGTCCAAAACCACCCCCAGGTTAGTGATGGCTGGCTTCACTAACCTGCAAAAACAGGGTTGCAGGACAGGACTAACTGCAGTGGGAGAGGGAGGAACAAATATTCCAGTTATAAATATTAAATATTTTAACAAGTAAATATTTGTTAAAAGGAAGAAACTGATGATGACTTTAAGATTAGAGGAATGTTGTAGAACGGGTCTGGAACCAACGATGGCCCTTTGGATCAAATCTGGATTTAAAAAATAGCTCCTGATTTTATTTATGGATGGAATAAAAATACAGGTTTTAAGCATCTTCTCAGTATCTTCATGTTGCACGACTTTCCATAGCAGAAGGACACAAAAACTGCCAGAATTATGATTAGATAGATTTACGTTTTAATCTCAGAATCCCAACTTTTCCCAGAATCCTCACATTATTCTATGAATTCAGAGAAAATATACATTTTTCAGAGGTCTCGCTCCCCTGCTGTGGATATTTCTCAAAATTCAACCATTTTTTTCTTTTCAAAAGCTTTAGTAAGAGTTTGGACTCTAAACAATTTTTACTTTGCAGACTGCTTGTCTACACCTTCATCAGATCTGCTCATAATAAAACATTTGGGTTATATTTAATGTCTAGAGAAGATGCTCTTCCTGTGCATTAAGTTATCAAAAACAGATAAAAGTTTTTTTTTACCATAATTTTAACTGCTATCAGCTGATAAAAATAATAAAAACAGCCTGATCATTAAAGGGGTGTAAGTGAAACCGGGCTGACACAGGTCATGGGCCACATGGCACAGGATTCACACAGCATTTCCACCTGAAACAGAATCATTAAAATTAGAATCAAATACAACAGTTGTTCAGTATGACATCAAATGGATTTTTAAAGAAGGCAATTGGACTTCTTTGGTTTCGTGAACACACTGGTACACCAGAGCACTGTGTGTGTGTGTGTGTGTGTGTGTGTGTGTGTGTGTGTGTGTGTGTGTGTGTGTGTGTGTGTGTGTGTGTGTGTGTGTGTGTGTGAGTGAATGTGCTTACGTGCATGCATGTGTGTGTGTAAAAGCCATGTGTAGTGTTTGTTATTTATAAAGCATATGTTGTTGGATTTTATCCAGACTAGAGACTTTGAAAATATATAGTTTAATTACAGTTTGATTTATTTGACATCTGTATAATGTTTATTATTTTGTTTTTCCCCATAAATGCCTAACGTTTTAGTTTAACATGAATATTTGTCATTCATCCCAGTGTTGGGAACGTTACTTTAAAAAAGTAATTAGTTATAGTTACTGATTACTTTGTCAAAAAAGTAACTCAGTTACTAACTGAGTTACAAGATCATAAAAGTAACTAATTACCAACAAAAATAACTACTTAGTTACTTTTTTCATTAAAGAATGCAAGAATTACTACAATAGTGAAATATAAATGACTATTGACTGGAACATAATAAAATGTATGTCCAAATGTTTTTTATAAACCTGAATAATTTCAATAAATCAGCACTTAACAGGAGGAACTACTAATAGGAACATTACACTAATCTAGACTATTAAAAGGTCACTGTGTGATATTTAACAAGACCCCAATCAGCTAAAATTTAAAATTGCAGATAGAAACACCTGTAAAGGTTCCCGAGCCTTTAAATGGTATTTCGGTCTAGTTAAATTACAGAAATAAATGTAATTTTGCATAGTATTCTAATTTTTCCAGCTTCACATAATTGTGTGTTTTTAGCGCATTTCTGTTGCTGGTAATCTAGTATCAGTTAAATAAATAAATAAAATCCTTTAAAATTACACTAGAAGAGGCACAAATCTGATGGAGGACTTAAATGTACTAACGTGGGTCAGACCCAACCACAGAAGAGCTGAAGCTGGGTGGTAAACACACACAGGTAGTTCTAATAACACCTGAGCTCCATGTCGTCTGAGACTGATGCATCAGTGTTACAGCGGGACTAAAGACATGATCAGAGACAGGTTACAGCTGGATAATCTAGGAAGGTAGAAGATCAGGACGTCTGAGCGATGGACAGGTGAGCGAACCTTCGGGACGTCCCGCTGTCACGCCAAGAAGGGCACGGCTGCAGACCCGCAGATTCGCTGCTGCAGATTCCCACCTGCAGCAGCGAATCTGCGGGGGGTCTGCAGCCGTAGACTATTCATCATGTCTTCCTCGTTCTTCACGGGCCGTGATGCTCTTGGATGAAAACATCTACCTCTTTAGCTCCTGATCAGCTGATGACAGCTTCAACACACCGCGCTGCTTAACGCACGCATTTCCTTATCAGTAACAGAAACAAAGTTTTGATAAAAGAAGACGTGGGCCGCTGCTGTAAAAAAGTGAGGCGCGAACCGGAAAAGCTTCTGCCGATCACAATTCAACAACGGATTATGGAAGAACGGATAACGCTCGAAACACGCAGATTCTTCCTGATGTGAGAGGTGAGTCTCCACTTTGTTTTGGCGTCGACATCATCCTAGCGTGCCGACACCTCTCTCTCCCTGGCTGCAGCTGAAGTGTGGCGGTCAGAAAGCCTCATGCTGCTGCTCAACGTTCGACAAGCACATAGTAACGCACAACCTTCCGTCCCCAGTAACGGTTACGGCGTTGCAATGGCGGGAAAAGTAATTAATTAGATTATTCCGTTACCTATAAAATAACGCCGTTAGAAACGCCGTTATACTTAAACGGCGTTACTCCCAACACTGATCCCAATACATAAAGTTACACATTTTAAATTTTAATAGGGGAAGACTGCAGGAGGGAGCGGTAAAATACAGGGGGTCCCCAGCAAAAACAAACTTTACGAGTGTGATGAAACCTGCTGGTGTTCCTTCAGCAGGCCTGGTGGCAGCTCCAACGACCCAGTGGCTGTGCTTGGCCAATGTTATCGAGCTCAGTCCGACTCGGCCGTGAACGAGCCGAGGCGACATCCTGCTCTGCTTAAGAAGAAGTGTTATTTTCCGCTTCAGAAGAAGCGTCCGTGTTTTTACGCTTTCTCAGAGACATGTCACGTCGCTAAGTTGTTAGCGCCGCGCGCTAACACGTCAATAGTGCAGCGTAGCCTGCTGGAGATTTTAAGGGTTCAGATGAAAACACCTTTACCCTTTTACCCATTGAAATATGCCCTATTAATTATTTTACTGTATTTTACATTTAAATTTCATGGTTTAACAGTACATGCTACATGTTAAACTGATAGTTAGCTAGCTACTTCGGTAAACTCAGCTAGTTTAAAGGCGGCAGTGACATAAAATACAAATATAGATTTTAACTTAACGAAAAAAATGAAGTGGAGACTCCTTGGACGTTCTATTAGTGCAATTAATACCACAGCAAGTCATTTTGTCCAACAATTGCACCAATAATATCCAAAACAGAATTCACAAGCACAGAGACTCAAAATCCCGACACAGTTTCCAGGAGGGACCGAGGCTGTACTGAGGCCTTTCCACGGAGCTAGCTCTGTGGTCACGTGGGTCTGAGGCGGCGGTCACGTGTGTCGGATGCTCATTAATTATTAGGCTTTCAATACACTTAAACAGAAGAGTAAGAAAAAAATTCACCCCCCTCAGAGTTGTCATGAGTATAAACTAGATAATTTAGACAAAAAACATGTTTTGGTACCAGGCTGTAAACATGTTTATTTCTGCTTTGAAAATGGCATTTTTAACATGGGAGTCAATGAGGATTTGCTCGCTTCTGGTACCAGCCCCCAGCGGATGAGGGTGGAACTGCAATTTCTCTTACTTCCGGGATGGGACCATTTTTTGAGCCGCATTGTGGGGGCTTGGTCTACACACAGGAAAAGGGAGCATACAAAGCCATTCCCCTCCCCCATATCGGCACCTCTGATCACCTCACTGTTATGCTAATGCCAGCACAGGGCCGTTGCTAGCTATTTTGGTGCCCTAAGCACAAAGGCATCGTGGTGCCCCCCCCCCCCCCCCCACACACACACACACAGAGGAAAAACTACACAATAACACAGTATGTGCAAGCGCTTCGCCTTAAATTCTCTTTCTCTTGTATGCACAAACTGCTTATTATTTCCAAAAAGTAGGATTGATATTTACATAATATAACATACTCAACACAGGAACTCCATATTGTTATTATTTAGAACTATGTACCAGGTCCACACAACACAAGCACCGGTTGTGGCACATGTGTTTCTCCAATGTAATTTTCAGATGCTTTTTCAGATCCAGGACTCACTCTGCCTTCTGAAGTGCTGGCTGTGGGCTGTGCTCGGTCTGTAAAGCCGGGCGTACACTGTCGACTTTTTCACTCGTAGCACTCAGCTTCAGCTCAAACTGTACGACTTCCTCGCAGGGCAGATCTCACGAGTCATGCGCTCACACTGCACGACCCAGTTCTCGGATGCGATCTGACTGCTCACACTGTACGTCTGGTAGCAACACGTCAGACCTAAAAATATGCTAAAAATAGCAGTTTTTTCTCAACACGTCAGACTTTTTTGTCTTGTTTTGCCTGTTGTCCTTCGGGAGTGCTGCAGGAGGACACACAGGGATTTATGGAGCTTGGATGAGGAAAACGAAATAAAGAAAGTTACTCTGTGTTTTGTGATCAGTTTAATTTGACATGAACACAACAAACACGCTTTCTTGACAATCTGTGAGTAAAAAAACGTGTAGAAATAGAAACGAACAACATGTGTTATTAGGGAAATAGCGGGTGAGCGGTGTTGATGCATGATTGCGCATGCGCCGTGAGCGGTTCTGATACATTTGGGGTCGCAGCTGCTCACAGCGCCGCTTCAACAGTGCGATACCCTCACGAGGGACGAGCGAAATATCAAACACTCCAGAAGTCCGTGCGAGCTCACGATAGCTGATCGGTAGCTGGTCACGTGGTGTTAATCGCCTCTCGTAACCCCCTGTACACTACACGACGCTCGGCGCAAAACTCGCCCCGATCTCGTGGATTCTCGCACGAGTGGAAAATCGGCTCAAAAAAGTGAAAAAGTCGCACAGTGTACGCCCGGCTTAAGTGTGCTTTACTTTGTAATTCCTGGTCAGGGCTGGGTGATGTTGTAGAAGGTTCAGACGTGATGGCTCTTGAACTGCTGGTGGAGGGCTGATCTGAACTTTTGGCGTGAGCTCCTCCTTGAATGTACTTGTTCATTGAGCCTGCATTCAGACACAAAAAGACAATTTGTCATATTCATTCTATAATAAGATAAAAGTTTTAAACCATGGTAAAAAATACTGCAATTAATTATTTATAGGTTTATATTGGCTTATAAATTACTGGCATGTGACATGACTAAATTCAAAACTATTTAACCTTTATTAAGAACTAGAGAGGCACAATATACACATTTTATACACAACTAGAAAATTCTGAATATGAAGGGAGGAGGTTAGCAAAATGGACTTTTTTCTTCAAATTAAACAATCAGCAGCTGATGTTCCCCTTGGCCCGTGAATGTTTATGAAATATATATCAACATAGAGCAAATACCTAGTTTGAAAATAGATTTGTCTAATTTTTCATATTAAATCTCAGTTACATAGCCTATAGGCCACATGGGCTATTTAATAATGATATAAATCATGTCCATAGTTAACTCATGATTAATCACAAACAGCCGCTTATTTAAAAATAAAATGCCTTACTTTACCTTGATGGTGTTTTTGTCCTTCCTGTTTTTGTGATATTTAAGTATTTGGGTGGACAAATATGATTCATTTGTTTATTTCTGTTCCAAAACAGCACAGATGGGCCTATCCGACCTCACAGAGGAAACTTTATTTTACTTGAGAAAGATGTTTTAAGATGAACTTATTAAAACAAAAAAATCTTCAAACTCTTAAAGGTTTATTTTTAGATGAACAACCTTTAACACTGTTCAGACTTATTTTTTGATACAAGTCGCATGAGCAGGCTGAATAAAAGGATATTTCCCTTTGTTGCATTTAACTATTTCTTCTTCTTTAAAGAAGTGCTGATTCAGAAGAGAATAACTGCATTTAGGAAGATGATGACTTGCTACGTTTTTTTCTCCAGCAGTAAAAAAGCTCTAAAGCGTCTCTGAGTTTCTCTCCCTCTCAGCCTCTCTCACTCAGCTACTGATGAACGCCCGGTAGGTGGACGGGAGGCTGCGAGACAGAGTGGCGCATTATACTTTTAACAGACTGGAGAAGCAGAGAACAAAATCTGCCCAAACCACGCAGATAGAGTCAAAATGTTAAATGTACGGAAGCAGAGTGCGAAAAACACCAAATAAAAGTCCTGAAAAGCAGCATGATTACTAAACTTGGTAAAATTTGACCAAAAACAGATTAACAGCAGTAACAAGTCCGAATTTAAGCTAGGTCAAACGACCCTCTGAACTTCACCACACCCGTGTTTAAAATTAGAAAAAGATAAAAAGTTAAGAATTTCCATTAAACTACTTGTCTTACCTGCCACCGAAGCAACAGCATCATCCCGCTGTTTTTTCTTTTGTCTCTTTACTGCCCCGGACTCCTGCAGCCTTTTCGGAGCCATGACTGTGCCCGTATGGAACTAGGATTGGGACAATATTCAGCGTAACTTGTACAATATTCAGCGTAACTTGTACAATATTCAGCGTAACTTGTACAATATTCAGCGTAACTTGTACCAAGTTTTGTAACTTCGAACATGTTTCATCACATGTAACTTTGGATTCGTAACTTGTAACTTTGGATTCGTAACTTGTAACTTTGGATTCGTAACTTGTAATTCTCAATTCGTACTTGTATTCTTGTTTTGTAACAGGAACATGGTATTTTGTACATGTATTTTTTTTTTGTAAAATCAAACATTCATTCAGAAACATGAAACTTTTGTTTTGTAACTAGCAGACTTCCTAATTGAAAAAAATCAAGGTACAAGTTTGAAATCAAAACTCTCAAAACACACATTTCATTCTACAGGTACAAACCAAAATCCTACAACGTTACCGATCTTTTTGTCTCGATTCTAGCGTCAGTGGGAGGGACTTGGGTGGAACCAATGAGAGCACGAGTCTTAGCTACCAATCACGTTTCTCGAATTCCTGTCCAATCATTGGGAGAGGAGGGCAGAGCTGTAGAGACGACACTCCCGAATGTCCGAATCCAGAGGAAGGGTGCTTATGAGTACGGATCCTCGCCGGTCTAGCAAGGCCGGGTCCTTGAAGACCGCTAAAACCGGAACCCAGCGGCTCTGAATTTGGACAGTCTAGCCTTCACCTCTACGGTGGCCCGTAGGTCCCGTCACAGCCGTGGCGGCAGCTACACGCAATGGAAAAATGCTAAAGCTAGCGAAAATGGAGCAGGAATATTAAGGAGCTACAGCAGCTTCATGTCCATCAGCAGCGTTTGTTCACAGCCGTTTTCAGGTAAAGTAACTTTGTTTATTCTAGAAGCTTTCAGGACTTACATGTTAACTTTAGATGGTTTAATGTATGTTTTAAGCTACAGAATGAACTTGTTAAACGTACACAACACATTTCTACAGAGTATTATCATGTAGGTAAATAATATAAACCAAATGCATTATAAATGTTGAATGCAGTAGGATGTTTTCTAATGTAAATTGGACCTTAGAACTTCTTTTGCATCAAATGAGGGTAAATCGTTTTAAAAAACAGGCTTTTTAATAAAATGAAGTGTTTTCAATGTGCGTTTGTTTATTCAACTTAAGCCTAATAATGATTAGATCTGTCTTAAAAATGTAAATTCTCTGTCGTTTTTATTTAACTATTCCCTGCTGCTTTTCTTTAAACTGAACAGAACCAGTGTACTGCAGGTTATGGGTTTGTTTTACATTTTTCTATAAAAAAACAAACTAACTCTTATTTAATCTATTACAGGTCAGCATGCACTGTGCTGCGCATCTGCCTCTGTGCTGCTGAAGTTGTGGGTCTGGAGGATGAGCCTGAGGAAGATGTGTGTGGAGGAGGTCAGTGGTGCTCTGTCCTGGAGGAGGTACCAGCAGACCACCACTACTGTTAACAGGCAAGTCATTCACAGAGATGTAACAGCCGTCGTCTGAGCCAGCCCAGCAGGCCCTGTAGATGGACGATGGAGTGGACTGTGAGAGGAAGCGTCCCAAAGCTCTCTCTGCAGACCGTCCTGTATGATGTTCCTCTGACCAGAAACGTCCAGCCACGGGTCTGCTCCAGCCCTCCATCCACATCTGGATCCTCCTGCAGCAGATCCAGCTGCACTGTTAAAAACTTCCTGCTCACTCAGTTTAAATAAATGATCCAGGAAGAGTCACTCAGGTTAATCCTGCTTTAACCGTACAAAACTGGTCCATACTGGTTTTGATCTGTAAATAAGTGTAACGTATTATAAATAATCTTGTCTCCTTACCATCTTTTCATTTTCTGTTCATGTAACATGTTCAAAAACATCTGTAATAATAAAATTGGTGATAAAATCAATGACCAGAAAGAGTTATCAGTTAGTATTTGTTTTAATAAATGTGTTCAAATATCAAACAGCTAAATAACATTAACATGATGACAGTAGAAGGCTCCTCTCCCAGGAGGACCACCAGGTAAAGACTCTCCTGACCCTGGACACCTGCAGTCCTATACAGAGAAAATCAGACCACGACCACAGGTGACAAAAAGGCAATAAACACATTTTTACATTTATCCACATGAGAAGATACAAATTATATTCTTCACACAAACTTTTTACTTCATTAAAACGTGTCAGCTGTGTAAATCCCCGAATGTAAAACTACTTTTCACAGAAGAACTTCTGTGGTTGTGTGTGTAAACAGCTTCACTCTTCACCTCTAAGCTTAATAAAAACGCTTCTTTGCTCCGTTGTCCTTAAAACAAATGACAAGTTTAATTTGCCACACACACACACACACACACACACACACACACACACACGGGGGAATAACTGGGACCCGCGATACAAACTCGTTCTGGCTG